TATACTCGAATAGGTTTTTTATTGTTTTTTTTTGTGGACGATGATAAAATTACTTCGAAGCCAGGAGCTATAGAGAGATATAGCAATGTAAATTATGGGCTCCAATTTTTATTTATTTATTATTAAAAGTCAACTCTTCTCCTCCATTGCAAATTGTGTGCATTTGGTTAACCTGGTTCTTGTCAAAGCCAGAAACATTTTACTTCTCTGCCAAAGAAGACAACTGTGCTACGTAAAGGCTTAGACACAACGATGATTATAGCAAATACCACTACGTTATAAGTCATGGTCTAATGATTTCAATTTATTTTATTATTAATATTAGACAAAACTAAAATCATTTGTATTTTTATTTTATACTACTAAGAAATATGTTACCAAAGAGTGTATAAATAAAAGTGTATTTTTCTAATCCTTTGGCAGTTTTCTATATATAATATTTCTTAAAACACACAAATATGTTTATATTGCGGACAATTCTAAAAAAATATCACACTCAAGTTTTGGCTTTCAATACCACTTGAGTTTTAGTTTTCCAAAAATACCACAAAACTAAAAATTAAACTTTCAACCTTCAAAACTAAACCCTTAAACTTAAACACTAGACCCCACCCTAAAAACTATACCCTAAATCTAATATAGTTAACCCAAACCTAAAATTTTAAATTCTAAACTCTTGAAAATCAATTTTTGTGTTTGTGGTAATTTTGGAACACCAGAATTGTTGGTGGTATTTTTGGCAAAAAAAACTTGAAAGTGTGTTATTTTGAGAAATTTTTCTTATATAGCAAAAATACAAATTAATACTTACCGAAAAATAGTTTAATTCGTCTAAATTTTATGGATCATATATCTAGAAAATTCATTTTTTTCTTAATATTTTTGAAATGACTTGGTATATTAACTATTTAAAAGTTTTATAAATATGAATTTTAAGATATTTAGTTCAATCACATATTTCAAAAAAATATCATATCGATTTATTATTTTATTTTATAAGTATAATTATACTTACCATAACAATTATAACTCTAACATAATTTCAAAAGATACCAATTCACTATTAAAAATAATAAGTTAAAAAAAAAACCATTGTACCTTAGATAAAACTTTAATATTGTAATCAATACTTAATGTTTTTAAGATTAATCAATTCTATGTAACTATTTGAAGATCCCGGGACTTGGCCTGTATTCTATCTAGTTTACTATGATGATAAGATTCGTTTAAAAGATCACTAACTAGTAACTATATGCATACTTTAATTAATAAACATGCCTCTATAAGATTACCATCAGTAAAATAACTTTAATTGGAAATATTCTCTGAAACAACTACCATTTCACTATTTTTGGATGACATTTACATTCTACATAGACAAGTTGGATAATTTCATATTAATTACTATATAATTAATATCTTGTGTAATTTAAAAGAATCTGGCTTCAAAGTATAAGAAAAATTATCAAATTTTTGTGAAGTCATTCAAATAATTTTTATGAATCTATCAAATGAGATAGGAGAGCTATAAATATTATTGGATATCACCATTTCATCATAAAAATATGTCATTATCAGTAACGAATTTATCGCCAATAACAAGAAAGCATGTGTTCTAATTTTTATAAAACAGACTAACAGAGGCAGTGCGTAATGTAACGGCATATATTTGTTGTCAGTTTATTAGAAATAATAACGAATTTGGAATGGTCTCCATATTCTCTATAACGGTCCAAACAAAATAATTTCATCTTTAAACTCTCAATTATATAGTATTATCTCATGGTATCCGTTTTTGACGATTTTAGTTTTTTTTTTTTTTTTTTTTTCTGTATGTAACACATAAATAACTAAGTTTTCTATATTCATAAAGGAACATTATTTAGTGAAAATTTTCTAAACTCATTTCATCCTATAAATAATTTATCGAATGTTTTTTCATTGTATCTAATCTTTTACAATATACTCTTTCAAAATAAATAAATAAAACTATTTATGGATGATAATTACATCTTAAAAAGGTTAGTTTGGAAACACAACGAAATAGTTCACAGTCATGTCGGGCTCAAACATATATATTCATCTCAAATCAATCGCAATTGGTGGCCGAGTTATAACAACTGCTAATATAATCACATAACAGTTTTATCATAAATATTTTCATTATCAATAACAAATCAGTTGCTAATAACGTAAAAAAAATATGTTCTATCAAAAAAGTAGCAACGAATATGATTGCATAAATAATGTAACGGAATATATTTGTTACAAGAATTGTTAAGAAAATCATATAACTATTGTATCATAAATATTTTCATTATCGATAACAAATCAATCGCCAATAACGAGAGAATACATGTTTTACTTTAGAAAATAGCGACTAATATATTCACATAAAAATGTAACGATTTTGTGAGTATGTTAAAATAGTATATAGTTTAAAATATTCAAACAATACGAAAATGATGTGTCAATAAATATTGGTATTCGTTTTTAGAATCCATCACCAACATGTTGAAAATATTACCCTTTTTAGTAAAAAAAAATTTAGGCCGCCATTTTTGTTGCTAAATTTCAATTGTTTTTCTAATAGTATTACTATTAGATATGAAAAGATCACTACTAATTAAAGATGGATCTTTCTGGCAGATTTGGATACATTGTACAAATGAAATGACAAGATAATAGTCAAATAAATATGAATTGCATACCATATATTGATAGAATATTAAGATTATGAAATGTTACAAAAATAGTAAAATTGAAATTCAAATATAAAATATAATAAATTAAAGTTGAAAATTACTCATAGACAACTCAAATATTAATTATTGGTTTGTAATATTCCACTATAAATACATGACCATATTCATTCTACAAACACCAATCTATATTTTCTCTTCTCAAATATCAGTAAAATGGTGAAGAAAAGCAAAGGTCGTCAAAAAATAGAGATGGTCAAAATGAAAAATGAAAGTAACCTTCAAGTTACTTTTTCAAAAAGAAGATCTGGACTTTTCAAAAAGGCTAGTGAGCTTTGCACACTTTGTGGTGCAGAAATCGCCATAGTTGTGTTCTCACCTGGTCGAAAAGTCTTTTCTTTTGGCCATCCTAATGTTGAATCTGTAATTGATCGATTTTTAAACAATAACCCTCCACTTCCTCACCAACACAACAACATGCAACTTAGTGAGACTCGTCGAAACTCTATTGTTCAGGATCTGAATAATCATCTTACTCAGGTAATCTTTACTTTTATTTTATGTATGATTAAAAACGTTATAGTGTTTTATATAAATCATAAAACCCAAATTTACATGGTAAAATTCTAATTTTTTTTTGCTTATATGTATGTATATAGTTTTATACTTTAATTTTCAAAACTAAGATATTTGTGTATGCATACTTTCATTGTTTTTGTTAACTAAGAAGTTTTGGAATACCCAGAGCCTCTTCTCACCATACCAAAGCATCTTGAATTGAATATCTCAGTCACTTATTTATCGTTGGTACTCAAACTTGAAACTTTAAAAACAATACTTTTTGATATTTGTAGGTGTTGAGCCAATTAGAATCGGAGAAAAAGAAGTATGATGAGTTAAAGAAAATAAGAGAAAAAACTAAAGCCCTTGGGAATTGGTGGGAAGATCCCGTTGAAGAACTTACATTACCTCAACTGGATGGATTCAAAGGTAATCTTGAAAATTTGAAGAAAGTAGTTACAGTCGAAGCCTCCAAATTTTTTCAAGCAACTGTTCCAAACTTCTATGTCGGAAGTTCTAGTAATGCTGCTTTTGGGATTGATGATGGTAGTCATCTCAACCATGATTTGGACCTCTTTAGCCAAAGAAGAATGATGGACATAAATGCATTCAACTACAACCAGAACCAGATTCACCCTAATCCCGCATTACCGTTTGGAAACAATGCTTATGGTCATATTAATGACGGATTTGTTCCGAACTACAATATCAACTACAGACCAGAGTATATCCAAAACCAATACCAAAACCAAAACCAAAGCCAAAGCCAAAACCAAAACCAAAACCTGAGTTTTAAGAGAGAAAACATCTCTGAATATGAGCATCCTCATCATGGTTATCCTCCCCACTCTAGATCTGATTACTATTAATCCTTTGTTGTGTGATCCAATTGAAGTCTCTAGACAAAAAGCTGTGTTTTAAGTTATCTTTATTTCTTCTTATTATTTTACTACATGTGTTGTTGTTTTTCTTGTTCTTGTTAAAAGTGTTATGCTGTGTTGTGTTGTTTATTTTCAGAATTATGTTGTTGTTAAATTCTTAATTAAAAATAATGGAATACAATTTTTAGGATATATTTAAATTCTATATTTCGGAAACAAATGCATTACTCTGAAAAAATACTAGAGTCTGCCATGGATACGTTTACGCATTTTGTGTAGTTGCAGAATTTTAAAACAAGAATGGTAATAATTATACTCAATCATGTATGTATATCTGTTTTAAAATAAATTTGCAAAAAGAGGCATCATGAGAATTTCTATGTGCACCATTTTATCAACTAAAAAGTACATATATGATCCCAAATATTTTGGTACATTGTAACAAATGAAATGACAACATTACAATATTTTTTCCTATAATTTCATTCCTTATAATGATGAAATACAGATATTATGAAATATCCCAAAAATGATAAAATTTTAATTCTAATATAGAAGAAAATATAATAAAATTAATGTTAGATTTATAAAAAACTATTACTATATTAAGGTTAATTTTAAAATGAAAAAAAAAATCTAAATATATTTCAGAAAAAAAAATGTCACATTATTTTATTTAATCCGTGCAATTTACTATAATATTTATTTTTCTTAAAAAAGACTAAATTATCATCAAATATCTAGTATGCATTACATATCAATCAATCCAAATAAACAATTGTAAGAACAATACAAGAAAATGCACATATGTACTTAATTTTTTTCTCAAAATCCAGAAAAATACTTAAAAACTAATAAATATATTGTAATTTTATTGAAAACTTTAAAATCCAAAGCACCACCTTAATCGCAAATTCAAGACCTCAATCCAAACTCATCTAACGGCATGTTCTACACATCCATAAACTCACAAATCTCCAGATTCATGGAGACCACAAGAAATACAAACAAACACACAGACAGATTCAAAGACAAAAGATAAAGTTGAAGTTCTTTTGTCAGCAAAACACACTTAAAGAACATAAGAAAATAAGCTTCTTTCTTGGGTTGTTTATATCAAACCCTAGTGATTGTAGGAGAAGAATCAGGCTGGCTCACAGAAGATGACTTTGATGCTTCCATCATGATAGCAGCTTGTTCTAAACAACTCTTGTTATCGTCATTAGCATTCTCCACTTCCTCTTTCGTGTATAAGTGTATCTTCCACACCACATTGCAGAAATCACTGTCCATAGCAAAAAGCCAATTTCAAGTTAGCAGCTAAGAAGTTGTGATTGAGCTTTAGAAGCTAGGTATAAAGAACTTACTGCCATGGATCATCGCCAACAACCATCATATCGTTCTCACTATCAGTATATAAGATCCTCCATCCTTTTTCAGGATCCCTGAGAAGCCCTTCCATGTTGAACAGCCGTTCAAGCTCGGTCAGGAGATCATCATAACCGTTTAGTCGGGATAAATCAATAGCTCTCCCCACTTGGCTTCCTTGCTTGTGAACCTTTTGACAACAATTCAACACAACAATTGATTAGAAGAGACATCTAGAATTGCAGCTCCAACAAGCCAAAGAGATGAAAAAGAAAAAGTTTTTACCTTTGTACAGATCCTTTTGTTCGTGCTTTGCGGGTTAGATGCAGGTGTCTCCACAGGTAAGGAGAATCCGAAAAGTTTACATCCTGATGAAGCATTCATATTAAAGTCACTGCTTTTCTGTTTTCCCATCATATCAATCTTGAATGGCAAATCAGCTGTAACATTATTCGGTAGGCCACCTTCATTTTGTGCATCAAACTTTCTAGTCTCTTCACCAAAGTTTATTGCACGAGAAGGGCGACCCGAGGATTGGTTTCCCGCATTGTATGGATTCTGATATGGAACATGAGTGCTCCTAATCCCATGCAAAGCTAGCGGATAGAAACTTGACTTGTTGGCTTGGTACGCAAAGGGATCAGTATATCCAAGATTTGGTTTTCCTGAAGCAGCAGCTGGACTGAAACCAGCAAATTGCGGGAATGATTTAAGCGAGCAAATTTCTTGACCTTGCAAGACCCTTGGAAACCTGTCCAGGTCCATAACACCTGAACAAGCTGGGTTCACGGCAGTAGCATCTACAAACTCACCAAATCGATCCTTCACTCTACTCGACAAAAGAACTGGACTTGCGTGAGACTGCATCGCAAAATCCAGTATCCGGCGATTCATAACATCAAACCCCTGTGAGGGTGATGCAGAACCTATATTTTCTTGACCTTGCAAGACCTTAGAGGGTCTAACCGACTCCTCAAAGTCCAAAAAACCACCCCTTTCTGCAGCAACCAAGAACAATAATCAATAATCTACTGAAGAAAGTTGAGAACTGTTTGCAAAGCATATCCTCCAAAAGAAGAGAGGTCTGTATAATTTACCGGTTATGGGGTTTCCGGGTGGAGTAGTATCCAGTAAACCTGCCCACGGCCTTTTAGGCCTTGGAGATGACTGAATGCTTAAGTGTGGGAGAGAAACCGAGGGATCAATCTCCCAAGGTGAAACTCTTTCTTGATGATCACTCACAAATGACTCATCCCATCGCACCTGCCAGACAAATGTGAAAGATTTAACTATCGATCTTCGAAAATGAAAAGTCTTCTACACGGTAATAGACAGATACTCTAAAAAGATGAGGGAAGACGCACCAACAAGCACCTCCATTTAGAGTTTGGCCACCTATACGGGTCCAAGTCACAGACTCCAGTCACTACTCCAGCGCATCTGCAAGAAAGATCAAATTTTAATTCTAGTCCAAGAAAATTAGCTGCCTACACAACACAAATAAAGAAGCAATACCTTCTCTCAGGAGAGTCGTCCATTTCAAATCGCATTCTGAATCTTGTGCCTATGCAAATGGGATTCCTGATGCTTGTGATATACTTCTCATAAGGAATCACAAACTCTGCATGCGTCGCTCTGTACATAAATTCATGAATCAATACTATAGTTCCTTTTGTCCTTGGAAGCAAGTTAAGAATCATTACTAATGGCAGTGTTTCATGTTATATTACCGTGGACTGTAAAACACATGAAACATGCTTTTTGTAGATACAGCATTAGCCACAAGAGATAGAATGTTCGAACATGAGTTCTTCTCAATGATTGAGTCAGGAAGTCCATTTCTTGGCCTTGCTGCTCTTCTTATTCCTAATCTCAGCTCTCCACCTTCGTCTCTATAAACGCAGATATTAGTAACGAATGTAACATTGGGATCAAGAGCTTCAAACAACCAAAAGCAGATGGAAACACCATCGATCTACATCAGTTAAAAATGAAATCTTATGATTACCTCAGAAAGAGAACGGCATCACCAGAGGCTAGATTCTTTTGACTGACAAATATACTCCAACCAGTGGTGAGTAGATGCCTCCTTGGTTGACCTATAGTACAAAGAGACAGAACTAAAAATTTTGGTTTCACTGACAAAGAAAATAAAACGAATAATGCCAAACTCAACCCGAGTCACCTCTATAGATATGGCGAAACTTCCACTCTACTCCATGGAGATCCTTTGCAATGAGCTCTTGAGATGGCCTCTGTTGTTTGTAGTCCTAACATCCGTAAAAAAATCACAAATAAGGCTTATAACAAGAAGACCAAACCTCCAGAAAAAAAATGAAGGAAATGAGATCTAGAGAACCATACAAGAGGAGCAAAACAATCTTCAGCGGCTCTTCTAGGTACAGAGAAACCTCCATGAGTGCTTGTGTCAGAAGCTGTTAAGGTTTTGCAAAACATATGAGGTGTTCGTTTGACGGATGAGCTTTGATTCCTCTCTTCGTCCCCTCCTAACTCCTGGACCTCTTTCCCCTCCGCATTTAGCATCGAAAACTATAAAACCCCAAGAAGTTTCTTTAAAATCTTAACATCACTGAGTTTATAAATGAAACTCAAGAAGACCAAAGATTTCAGTGCTCTATGAGCCTCTTAAACAAATGATGGGTTTAAGTCACTAAGAGAAAAAACAAACTTATTCACAATCACACCTAGAATCTGGAGTTACACTAGTGATATACTCTAACTTCGAATAAGATAGAGCGTTTGAATTTGCTCAACATCAATTGAAGTTTGAAAGAAGCAACAGTTGAGTAAAAAGAGTACCTCTTGGAGTGGAAGCAGAGTGACTTGAGTGTAGACCTCATCAGTTTCCTTATTAGCCTTTTGTTTCCCCAAAAGAAGGAACCAAATTTGCAAACAATTACCACAATTAGAAAAGAAAAGAAAAAAACAGAACTTGTTCAAGAATAGTAAGTAGAACACAAAAGGAATGTTCTTTTTTTGGGTAGAGTGATACAGACAGACTTACAAGCAATTGGACATGAACCACCCTGCAGAAGATTTGGGGATTAAGGTCAAATTTGGGGATTTCAAGAGGAGAAGAATAAGAAACCATAGCATCTTGCTCCAAATGACCTTGTGGGAAATACACAACTACATTGCCTTTCTTGGGAAGACAAGTGAGAGGACCAGCACAAGCATGCCACAGCTCAGAGTAAATGGAAGATGCAGAGCCTGTAGAAGATGATGATGATCCGGAAGAGCATGAAGAAGAAGATGACGGTGAAATTCCAAGCCTACCCTTGTCAATTCTTGTTCCTCCTACTCCTACATCATCAATCTCCTCCTCTTCCACCTCCGCAATCTCAGTATTCAAGTCAAATTCCATTGAAAAGCTTCTTCTTTATTAAGCAAAGGAGACAAGAAGAAGAAAAAAACAAAAAGTTTCTATTTTTAATCAAATTACAACAAAACAAGTAAAACCCATCAAAGGAAAGTTGGCAAAATTCGAGCTTGAAGTGACAGAATTCAGAAATCCTCTCCTTTTCAAGTAAATTTCACAAAGAAGAAGCAAATTTTAAAAGTTGCTATTGAAAGGAGAGATGAGTAAATAAGTGTGGAATCACGAATCAGAGAGAAAAGAGAGAGAGGAAGGAGGGAATCAAATGAGAACAAGGGTTTCAAAGTATGATTCTTCTTCCTCCATTTGCAGGTACTGAGAAGAGGGAGCACAAGGAACAGACAGAGATAAAAATTTGCAGATTGGAAAAAATATACTTTTTTAAAGAGCAAAAAAGCAAAAAAAAAAACAATTTAGTGGAGAGAGAGAGAGAGAAAGAGAGGGAGAGATAAGCGGGGGAGACAAAGCCAAGACAGAACAGAACCCACACCTACACCCTCTCTTTCCCCTTCTTCTTCTTCTTCTTCTTCTTCTTTCTTTTTCTTTGTTTCCCAATAAAGACTTATTTCTTCACTTGAAAATTAATAAATAAAACTAAGATTTGCTTAGAATGACTCTAATCTTTACTAAAATAACTCAAATAACACACGGTTGATTTGGTTTACTAGAATAACTCTTATTTTTGGTAAAAAGTCTGAAAAACTTTCTTGGGTAACAAAATTCACAATCATGCCATTCATTATTTAATTAAATAAAAAACCAAAACTAAAACAATTAACCAAATAAAGAAGCCTTATCTGGTTTTTTATTACATTTTCTAAAAAAAGAAGAAAACAATCCCTTTATTCTTCTACATCGTCGGAGACGATTCCAGAAAAAACAAAAACCCTAGCTTTCTTTCTCAGTCGCCGTCGAATCTCTTTGTCTCGTTTACCGGATGCATGTCAAAATCTGTCCCCGCCGTCGAGTCTCCGTCTGTCATTGATTATGTTGTTTGAGTGACCGGCGTTAGAGATCTGTGTCGATTCGTCGTTGGTTTCATTTGGCAATCGGCTTCGTTCTAGGTATGTAAACTCTTAAACCGTGTTCTTCTCGTGTTTCATTATTTTCCCTTTTCCGATTGATGCTTCTGAAATCCGATTGGTGATTTTGAAAACCGTGTTCTTCTCTTGTCTTGTACTCATGTTTCTTAAATCGGATTTGTTTTTTTGTTGCAGATCTTTATCCTTCCAGTTCCAGCGATTGTTAGTTCGTTATTTGGAACAAAGAATTAGGGCAATTTCATCAGATTAGTTGTAAGATAAAGCATCCCTTTTCCGAGTACAAGACAATGTTTTTGTCAAAATTAGAGTGAAGTTTTTGAAATCGAATTTTGCTAATCAAAAATTGTCAATGTTTTGATTTTGCAAGTGAGAGGTTTGGTCGGCTTCTGCATTTGCCGTTTAGAGCTACACGTGACAGCCTTTTGACCCTATCTTGTGTTAGGGAAGAGAAGCTTGCTGCTTTATTTTGTCGCGAGTATGTTGTTGAGGTATGGGTTACGACTAGGATTGAGGCCAATAAGGTGTCGTGGAGCAAGTTCTTGACTTTTGATGTAGGCGACTACCCGCTGTTTAATCCTTGTCAAGGGAGTTTGTTTGTTGATGAGGTGAATAACGTCGCCATGATTTTAATGTTTATTTGTTTGTTTGTTTGTCTTGTACACAGTTTTCATCATTGGAGAGGCTGGATACGTCCGAGATGTTGATCTTGGAGAACCTGCCCACCAAGATAGTTGGCCATTGGTGTGTCCTTATGTTCCAAGTTTAGTGCAAATCAAGCAACCTGCACGATGCAAAAGGAAAAGACAATGCAGTTTAGAAAACCGTCCATGTAATTGAAACATGGTGAGACTTATCGCTCTTGAAAAGCATATGACGCCCTGGAACCATAAAAGGAGATAAAGAGATGATCAAGTCTCGGTTTTACAGAGCTTAATCTGTCTTTCTCTCTACTTTTCTTGATTTTAATGTTTATTTGTTTAGTATTATGTATATCAATATGTATACTTTGGTTTCTCCTTCTTTTTAACTGTTTGGACTCTTTGACTGTGTTCCACAAATTTGAGATTTGATCACTTTACTCTTTTCATGATATTTCTCACTGGAGCCCTTCTAAGGGACTAATGGTGCTCTTATTGTTCTGCAGCAGTTATAAATTTTGTTGGCCAAGTCTAAAAGATTTAATAAACGTCTTATGATTCAGTGCATTCATATGATGTAATTATTGATACAATATTAGCAATCTCGTAAATAAACAACTTTGATTGCTATAGATAGGTCTCGATTGAAAACCAAACATTCTCGAGTATTCAGAGAGATGATCAATCAATAATAAACTAACTTTGCATAATGCTGGGAATAATCAATGATCATAATGAAGTACTCTTACTTGTTATGAAGTCAACCAGAGTTGTTTTGTTTGCAACTTTATCAGATAGTTTTGTTTTGAGTTATAAAAGGAAAAAAAATATGGAACAAAACTCAAAACAATGGAGAGGGAAGCAAAGTGAAGATCAAAAATATTAGACATTTAATGCATTAAACGTCAAATTTGGTAATAATTTGTACAAATCTGTCGGAGGTAATAAAAGTCTGTCGTAACTAAACGCAATCAAACCGGTTTAAACATACAAGCAAACCAGCAAGATTTGTAGTTCTGTTGAATTTGAGGCTAGATATTAAATCTCATGTAACATGATTTTTTGAAATTTCAAAAACAAATCTGCCAACCAAAAGTCTGTCAACACTAAAAAGGTTATTCTAGTTAGAAACAAATCGGCCATAACATGACATGAGAAAATCTGTTATGCTTAGGGTCCAAAAAACATAACTGTCATAACTAAAAACAAATCTGTTATCACTATGCGACTGTTTAGTAATTATATTTTTTTTAAAAAACCTGCTATAAAACGCCAGATTTGTCAACAAATAAAGAAAATCTGCGAGTACAAAAAACAACTCTGTCATCATTATATATCAATTTTTTGGGTTAAAAAATCTGTTATAAAACGACAGTTTTTTTTTAAATCCTAAAATCTGTTGCCAAAACAAAGAAAAGTCTGCGGTTGGAAAACAAATCTGTGGCAGATATGTTTTCTAACCATTCAAAATCTAAAAATTTTAGGAAAATCTGTGGATACAACATATAACAAATCTGTCGCGAAAAAAAAATCTGCGGAAAAATATAAATCTGTCATTACTAAATCAAACAAAGTCTGTGGTACAAAAAAAGTCTGTCGAAGAAAGTCTGTGGTGGATCAAAAAGTCTGTCGTACTAAATAAATCTGTCACAACAGGAGCCACAGATTTAACAAAAACGAGCAAAAGGACGGAGTGGCAGTATCGTAAATAAATTGTATTTTTTTGCCACGCTGGAATTAAATAATAATGGCATTTCTGTAATATGTTTTTTCTCTACAAAGCAAAACAGGGACATTTTAGTCATAAATATTACCCATATAACCCATATTTTTGGTATGCCATTCTAGTAATTAAACACAAATTATGGGTCACTTTAGTAAATTTAACTATATTTGTGTCAATATACACACGTTTACACACAAAAGTTAACATTTTTTGCTAATTATTTCCATTTTTTCATTTTCCTCTTTTTTTGTTAAAAGAAGAAATGTTCAAAGTTTCATTAGGAGGTGCTAATAAGAAGTTTGTGATCAAACTTAACGGCTAATTCAATCGTTTGTCTAGATTTTTTTTTCCTTCAAAATTGTTGATGTATGTATATTAATCAACTGTTTAAATACGTCTAACCATTATCAATCACTCGTTTAATTATTCATACTATTCTTTTCTCTTATATTCTGATATTTTAGTTGATTTCAGTGCATGTTTAAATGGTTATCATTTTCCAACAAACTCACTCAGAGTGAACTATCAAAGTTCAAAGAATATGCATCGATTGGATTATATTTGTTGTCATTCACACCATAATTTTCTTAACTTGTGAGGAATAAAAACCGCAAATTGATTAGCTTTTCTTTGCATACTCTTACAAAGGAAACAGTATCTCTTTGGAATCTTTCTTTGTTCTTTCTTTTTTGATGTTATGTATTGTATTATTTGTTTTCGTTTTTATTTTTTTTATTCGAAAAAATTAATCAGCTTTTCCATTGCGTTGTTAAGAGCCAACCAACCGGCTAAAGACAGAAGAGTAGGCTCCTTTCGATTTTGTAACAAAAGCACTTTTTCTCTCTTTTTCTGAGAGACAAATAATATGAAAATCAGCATTTTGTTATTGATAAACTAAAGTATGCTATTTAAAAACCATATCAACATATAAACAAACTTTCAGCAGTCTGAATAATGAAATTTAGGGTAAAGTCTACTAATATACTGCTATTTCTTGGGTAAATATCTTCAAATGGATTTAGTAAAAATAATAAAAATATTTGATGGTGGAAAATGATTGCTTCATAATTTGAAAACATAACATGTTTTTTTGGTTCATATATATAGTTTGCTGTTAATTCATATAACATTATATCATATTATATATTTCGTAAAAATTATACTATTTATACGTTTGATGTACCGTTTTTTAGTAACATGCTTGATCTGATGTTGAGTTACTAAATGGCATAACTATCTTCTTTTTTTTGGGTGAAGATGGCAGAACTATTTGAGTTACAACATAAACTATTCTTTTCACATTTTTGCAACTTAATATCTACTCATAAAACAATTTTTTCTGAAACATTTGATTATGAATAATACCCTTTCATAATTTCATTGGAGAGGAAAAAAGAAAAAAGAAAAGAAGAAAACAAAAAGGATGATGGGATGGGAGAGGGAGAAAGAATGAGTCTCTTCTTCAGAGTTGTGAGTTAGTGAGTGAGTCCCAACAACTAACAAAGACCCCCCTTGATATTTGCTGCCTCTTTGGCCCCCACCTTTTTCTTTTTTTTCCTTATTCCTTTTTACATTTTTCATGCAACTCCTTCTAAAACTAGCTTCATATTCTCACTTTTTTTCTTTAGTACTTAATTCATATTTAATTCTGATTAGAAATATATCTCCTTTATTCTCATATCGCACCACAACTCGAAACGTGTAATCTCTTAATCTTAATGATATGATTACCATATTCTTCTGTCTGCTGATCATAACTTTTAGTCAAAGATTATCTTTTTTTATTTAGAGTGGATCGTATCTTTTTTTTTTCATGTTTCTTTCCTAACTAAAATAATATTTTACTAAGAAAGTCGATTTTACAATTTTTAGAAAAGATATCTAATTTGAATATTATTGTGAGAAGTCTCCAATGGCTGAATTTATCAAGTGGGTTAGTTTTGGATCAAACACTTTTTTTTGTAGTATATACACTTAAAGTTGTCAATATACAACACATACAAGTATACAACAATATAGCTCTCAAAATAATAGAAATATACATTCCACACCCACATACATAAATTCATTTGTGACTTTCTGCTGAAAGTAAGCATCTATTTGAAGGATGAGCCACTTGGATGCTTTGACTCTCCTCCACTCAAAATAAGCTTGTGTTTATCAAAAACCTAACCATGCATATTCATCTTCCCTTTGTGTTGATCTCGTCTTTTACATGGCTCCATTTCTTTTTCCTAGCCTCCCTAAAGAAATTAAAAGAGAAATTTCTTACGTTATTAGCCATCACGCTCGGTTCTGATTTTATTCTTCTCTGTTTCAGTTTCATTTCATGTGGCATACATGTATATTGTTGAGATAACGTTCGATACCAATTTATCAATTTTAATTTTTGAATCATATATTTAATCGAAGTTTCAAAATATTCAAAGATACAATACGTCGCATGTTTTTTTTGTTCGGAAAGAAATAGCAAATATCCATAGCCTAATTCGTTGCATGTTCATAATTAGGTTCTTTTGACCAAGTTGATTGAATTAGGCTATGAATATTTGCTACTCTTTCCAAATTTTCATTCAAATCAGAAAGAATAAAATTATATTTTTCCATGTAAAAAATTGGGAGTTCTAATTACCACAAATATGTTGCCATATATTTCTACTTTGTACAATATTTTTTAATACAATTTTTTAGTGTATGAGATTCCTGCATATGCATGTACATATCATATAAATTTGGAGTGGTTTTGTTATAAGAATCAACATATATATAATACAATAATGATTATTTTTATAATATTGATATTTAAATAGAGATTGTTTTATTATAAATAGAAGAAAAAAGGTTTATGTTTTGGCAGAGAAAAAATATAAAAAGGAAAAAAGACAGAGGTGGATAATTAGGAGACGTCGTGTCAAAAAAATTGTCGCGCGAAAACGACAAAGCAACGCCAATGACTTTATTAAAGTCACAAGTGTCTGTATCATTCGATTAAAGACACTCCTCTCTCTCTCTCCCTTCATTTTTTTTTCTTTTTAATAAATCCTGAATACTATTTTTACTTTTTACATGTTTGTAGTTAATTGCGGTTCCACAATAACCACACACCGAGAAAATATTTTTCAAATTAACTGTCTGTAAAATTATATAGAGTTGACTGAGTTTAAAATTGAAAAATTATTTAGTTTCAAATGGGTTTTCTGTATTTTAGAAAATTACGTATGGTAATTTTTAAAATTCCAATAAATATCTATGCATGGTATTCTCAAAATTCTGTCTAATGAATAAAATTTTTAGAAGTTCATCATCAGAAACACTAGATTTTAATAGAACTACATAACAATAATCAATAAAACTAAAAACAAGTTGGGTAGAATTCATATATCAACTTGTGATAAGAAAAGTAGGCCCATCAAAAAAAAGAATTGTAGAGACAAATGGTATCCCATAAGAAGAAAGCAATTTGTCAAATTGGAGCCTACACTAAAGTTGGGCCCTATTTTAACTTTTTCAACCCTTTTTTTTTTATAGCTAAAGTTAAAAAAACAGACCAAAAAGATTTGAGTGAAATTGAAGCTTAAATCTTAAGTCATACTTGTCAAACTATAAAGCAAGTCATACTCTATAATCGTCGATCCTCGTTGTAAATCATTCATAAGTAAATTTCATCATCGTTAGATAGCATTCCTCGTATCAATGATGTTATTTTGCCAACACGATCATATAAATCAGAAACCAAATTCTATATTGATTTAGAGTTGAACAGAGTTGGTGTCATCTTATTATTATTACAATTGTTACCTCTATTGTTATAAAATCGTCGTTGATATCGAAATATGGCATTTGGGATTTTGATCCTCTTGTCTCTTTAATGCCAACATGCCATGGTCTTTAAACACTTTTGTTATATAGGTTGTTTTAAGATATCCTTTCTTGTAGTTTGACCCCATCTACATGCAGTTGCGTTAACAAAAGTGTGCTTACTCATACATGGAGTTGCGTCATTTAATTATCATAATGTTGGGGCTTGGGAGTAATCCGAATCTCTAATGGGCCTGCTGTTTCCTTGTTATGGGCTTGGGAGTGATCATAATTATGATCCGAATCTCTAATGGGCCGTCTTCCACCAATGTGAACGGGGTGATACAGAGTAGACCGCAATGAGTTGCGTGTGAATTGAATGCCAAAAAGAGTCGACGAGTTTCTTGAACCAAAGAATTTCCAATTGACAAAGAGAACAAACATGGCTCTACTACATTCCCCACTGAAGGAGAGTCATACCAACGAAGAATGCCTTACATACAAGACGCTTCCTAGTAGCTAGGCCAATTTTGGATTTTGCATGTCTGAGAGGGCAGAGATCATCAACTTTTAGTAGACTACTACTTTGGGCAAGATGATATAGATCAAACATGTTACTACTCTGTTTCCAAAAGTAAACATGTTTTTTATTCAACGTTTTGGCGATTTACACGGATCTCATCGGAACGATAAAAAGGGAAACAAAACAAAACAAAGAAAAAACACTAAAAACAAAAAACCCAGCGACCAGATCAAGATCCGGATCTAAGCTTGGGATCCGGATTTGTGGAGGTAGAGTTTTCCAAAGACGTGAAGAGCGGTGACGAAGCCGATGAAACAGAGGCTCATGATCAGAACGACTGTCGGTGAGATCTTTAACCCCGGAGCTTCATCTGTGTAGAATCTCAGCATGTTGCCCGATCCTGATCCAGCTGCGGATCCTCCGCCGCCTGAGGATACGCTACCACCGCCACCGAGCCTGCGGCGACGCATGCCGGCAGTAGCGGCGGCGGATCCACGAGGAGCGGCCAGACCGGGCCGGGCGGTTGAGGAGGCGGTGGAGGTTGATTGTTGGGATTGGGAAGAGCCTCTCGCCATTGTTGTACGGTCAAGGGAAAGAAACAAAGGAAACAAGAAGGAGAGGGAGAGAAGTTATGTGAGTAATGGAAGGAAGGGTAAAATGGTAAATAAAGTCAAATCTGAGGGGTACATTTTTAGAATGTTGATGATAAGGAAGAGACGTGGTGTTCTAGTAGAAACTATGAAACCAATTATAATACTCCAACGATTTTATGAATGTATTAAAAGTTATACAAACTTAATCAAAAATTTAGGACCTTGAAATTCATAAGTTGGAAAGGTTTCATCGTCATTAGAGATCACATAACTAAATGTCGTTTAGATAGGTCCTATATATCTTGGATCGTGATTATTCATTTACCGACTTGCAAATTATTCCTTTTTATTTTTCCCTAATGTTACGTATTAGTGACTTTTTAGTGTTAATCTTTCCTCCTCCACAAAACTACCGTTTTACAAATGAGGAAAAAAAAAAGAAAGATAGTTTGGGCCTTTTCAAACTTCAAGCTAGTTGGGTTTCACATTTGAGTTTCTTTGATTTAATTAATTCCTATCTAGAATGGGCTATTGTAAAAGTAGTTGGGCTTCTCTTGCCACACCTATTTCAATTCAATCAAAACCTTTATTATAAAAAAAATCCACAAAATTAAGAAAATAGAAGATATTTTCTTTGACCAAAAAAAAGTAGATATGTAGTTAAGAAAAAAAGACATAACACAGATGAATTAAAATCTAGAACCTCGGATTAAAGTTTTTGTTTAAGTCATTAGTTCAATGTTTGCAACTTTGCATAGTGAAATGAGGGAATAAGATCAAAGTAATTAAAAGTCCAATACATGTACACCTCCTAAATTTTAATTTTCAAAGTTGAGGAAAACATGATGTGTAAACACTTTGGTATAAGTCTCATTGATGTATACCCAGTACAGGATCTTTCACATGCATCTGTCTCTCTATAATAGTGAATGTATATTTGATAATTAGAGGTCAAAAATGCACCAATGGCGTAATTATGTAATGATGATTTCTTTGCCCCCATCAAATTTGAGTGTTGGCTGTAAAGACAATCTCCTTTTCTCCATCATCGTCCTTTTCTTCATGTTCTATATTCGTTTCTAAATCCTTCTTTTATATCCTTTTTATGTTGATGTCATCTCAAACAAAATTTGAGTCGGTGAATGATGAATGATTACTTGTTATATATTGCAAGATATTGAAAAACATATAGCATCAAAAATCATAGCAATATCCTAAGTAATTATGAATGATGAATCATATACCATTATTTGAATATATTTTCACGTCTTGAAAGTGTTTAAACTTTATTTTTCCATTCAAAACATTTACTTATCAAGTGTTTTCACGAAAAATGAAAAATAATTCTACTATTTACTACACACACAAAAAACAAAACGTGGTTACTATGCTAAAAATAGATTTTTTTTTAGCATTTTGTGATTCTTACTTGTAATCATTAGCTAATAGTGGTTCTGCTATTGCATCATTTGATTATTCTGTAATTCACTAATTCTACTATTTATATGCTAAACCAGTCAAGCCCATGCATGAACAACATAATTTTGTTATAAACCTATACTATATATTGGGTAAGAATCGTTTTCTATCCAAATTAGGGCATCAACATTCTAAGAATGTAAAGTTAAATTAGAAATACGGATGAAGACCTAGAAATAAGAAAATTAAGAAACATAGATTTGGAAAAAATGAGCTATAACTATTGTAGTTACACAGAAGTGGTGTGCTTTTGTTAATTAGTATATGATGTGATGTCACTTGTCTCACTCGTAAATGATTTGGCTGAATTTTGATTACCATTTTCAAATTTAAAGTTACATTTTCATCATGATCAAAATAGATATTATTAAAGTGGGGAAAATTATCCGTGACATCCATCTTCAATTTATATATGTTGTATGATGTCGTTATTTTCACTTTCAGCTCCAAACTTATGCTCGCTGTGATTTCATTTTTTTTTAGAAATTTCAATATATAAGAAAATAACTGATTTTCATCTTATTTCATTATATATATGGATATAAGAACTTGAAAGTATTAGATGGTTAAATTGTAATCGATCTATTTGATTCTAGAGGCAAATATTTTGGCAAAAAGGAACAAGCAAGGTTGGGGTACATCTTTTTATAACAAAATGGAATGTAAGCCATGTGTAATCGTCGTCTGAAAAAGAAATGTTGTGGTACGTCTTATTGTTTAGTCAACTTTTAAACGGTAAGAAAAGTCCAAAAGTTTAAAGTTTGTTCACATCTCATATGCATACACAATCATACAAGATATATGCAAAAAATTTCTATATCTATATATTACAAGGAATTGACGTTCTAATAATGTCGAATTCATGAGTTTTCATATAGATTAAGAAGGATAACCATATATTAAACCATATTTTTAAAAATTGAATTTTACTAAAACGATATGAAATTGATAATGGAAAACATTAATTTCCAAACTAAAATAATCAAATAGAATTATATAAAGATTTGTGTTAAACTAGAATGAGAACGTTTCAGTACTCTGAATCCATGACTTACCGACTTGTAATAGAACAGTTGTGTGTAAAGAGAGATAGAGGAGATTCCGTCTTAGCAAGCCTCTTCTTTTTGGTGTTATCCTACAAGACTCTTCACAAGTGATCAAAACTTAACCCATCACAATCTCTTAAACATAAAAATCCAAAAACAAATATTAGAATTTTCTACCAACGACCAAAAACTAAAATAAAATAAAAAGACATTTCTAAATTAAAACTTCAATAATAATCCCCACTTTTTAGCCCATAAGAAAATATCTTGATATAGTTCTTATAAGTCACAAAGCTTTACTGTCATTAGATAGATAATCACTTACATCATTACTAGTTTTCTTCTTTCATTTCTCTCTTTCTCTGTCTTCTTGCTTGTTTAAGTGGAGGATTAATCTAAGACAAACTAAAGAGTTTTTTTTTTTTTTTGTCTCTTCTTACATATGAATCAAGACATGATGATTCCACATAATCATGACCGCCTCTCATTCTCTAGCTTTGTCCATGACCAAGAGCACATCACTCCAAATCCTAACCCTAACTCTCAGCCTGCAGCCTCCCCTAACACACCCAAGAAAAAGAGAAACCTCCCAGGAAATCCAGGCATGTGTATATATATATTTTATATGTTCTCCATGGGTTTTTAATCTAGCTTGATGTGTTTTCATCAAATCAATAATCTTGTTCCGAGTGTAGATATTTTGTGTTTTCTTTTTTTCCATCTTGATTATTGTTTTATTATTAATGGTTCTAAATTTTTTTCGAACAAAAACAACAAAAAACAGATCCAAATGCAGAAGTCATCGCTCTATCTCCAAAATCCCTCATGGCGACAAATCGGTTCTTCTGCGAAATCTGCAACAAGGGGTTTCAGAGAGAACAGAACCTTCAGCTTCACAAAAGAGGCCACAACCTGCCATGGAAGCTGAAGCAGAAAGCGAATAAGAATCAGGTGAAGAAGAAAGTTTATATATGCCCCGAGAACAGTTGTGTCCATCATGATCCAGCTCGAGCCCTAGGCGACCTCACTGGAATCAAGAAGCACTTTAGCAGGAAACATGGAGAGAAGAAGTGGAAATGCGACAAGTGTTCCAAAAAGTATGCTGTGATATCCGATTGGAAAGCTCATAACAAGATCTGTGGTAGCAGAGAGTTTAGATGTGATTGTGGTACCCTCTTCTCCAGGTTATTACTAATACTCTTTCTAGGTCTTGGTCTCAAGTATCATCATTTGCCTTTAATTTACACGTAAAGTCAGATTTTTGTATGTTAATTTTCGAAAAACATACATAACATTCCAAAGCATACATAACCTTGTTTTTCCTTTTCAGAATTGATACACGTTAATTTCCTAACTTAAAAACCATAGGTTTTGTCTAGTACGTGGCCTTTGGCTCGTAGCTTGTCGTTTAGATACCACTTCCGTTAATTATTACTTGGCTTCTTTTTGTCTTGGTCCAGTTTGTAGTTTTATAGAGGAGAAAAAGGCTGCATGATTAGGACATGATGTGGTCATGTCTCAATAACTTTTCCACCTTACTACACATCAATTCTAAGCTTGTATTTAGTAAAGATCGTTACATATGTACATCATTTTTATAGATCACATTGCTTTAATTTTAATAAAGAGTTACATATACACCATACAAGAAGGCCTATTTTAATTTATATGTTACCATATAGCCTATATTAACATAGTTACTTTGATGAATGATTTGGTTGATTGTACCAGGAAGGACAGTTTCATCTCACATAGATCCTTCTGTGATGTCTTAGCTGAAGAAAGTGCTAAATTCTTCTCAGTTCCATCACCCTTAGCTGCCAATTCGGCCATCTCCACTGTCGCTGAAACCAACAATCCAACTCTTATTCAATCACAATTGGATCAATCTTCCATAGGTAACGTCAACAACAATCACACCAGCTTAAAGTTCACAAACTCCAACCCAATCCAACAACGTCAAGCCAATGCTTTTGCGCTGTCCTCAGCACCATCACCTCTTAGTACATCTGATTCGGTTCATAATCTATGGAAGTTACAAGAAGAGGAATGTTCACACCAGTGGTTACTCAATGAATATATGAACAACAACAAAAACATTATTCAGAAGGGAATATTCAAGAATCAAGAAAATGAGATCAAGAAGGGAAATATTTACAGCGGCTCGAACCCCACCGATGCAAATATAGCATCCTTGTTCTCGTTTAATCAAGAAGCAGGGAATATGGCTTCATTGTCGGCAACTACATTGCTTCAAAAGGTGGCTCAAATGGGATCATCATCGAGCTCCGACACAAGCACCATGTTTGGGCTAATGACTTCCTCCATCTTCAACAACACATTGCCAAACTCCAATTGTTTCAAGACGAAGAATAAGGAAAAGGAGTTGACCAGAGACTTTCTTGGTGTGGGAAGTCGTGACGACCAACAACATATACATCATCATCACTTCCCATCAAGCCTGCCATTGACGGTGAACCATAATGTTCCCAAGTTGGCTGCAACCATTGTAGGCGAGGAAGCAACCATAGATATGGCGTCAGATTCAGAAAATACTCGGTTTTGTTGATGGACAATGTAATTCCAGGATTTCTTTAGGAAAGTTCTAAAATAATAACTCACATGAAGTCTTTAGAAAAGTTCACAAAATAATATGTACGTGGAAGTGTACTGTTTAAACAAAAGTCCGGTGTTTGTATATTAATTTGCTCTCATTACAGCAGAATACCAGACAACGAACATGCATCTGATCAAGCATGAAATTCCGAATATATATTTTTTGTAAAAAGGCAATTTTTTTTTCTTGTAATAATTTTAAGCGGTCATACTATTTGATTAATCATGACTGATAACAGTAACACGCATCTCATCTCATGAAGGTTCCAAACTACTGCCAAAATTATTGCATTTATTTTGAGTAAACAAAAAATTTAATCAACAATGTTATTATAGTATATAGTTTTTGTTTTGCTAACATATACTATAATCTGGTCTATGTATGTATGATCATTTAAGCATAGCATATTCGTATTGAAAGAAATGCGAAAATAGGATCAGATGAAAAATATCTAGAGACAAACGAGATCATATATATTAATTAACAAAAACAAAATTCACTCGAAAAAAATGGAAATAGAAAAAAACAAATGGAGTTGATTAACACAAAATCATATGAAAATCAAGAGACAAATATTACCCCAAAATCACCCACATGGCAGAAAATCATGAGTAATAACAAGTTATCATCACAAATAAAACCATCCGAGTAATGCGCTAATGACGCAAAACGACACCGCATCACGCAGAGAACCAACGTTACGTGAAGCAAACGAAGCATCCGCCGGAGTATCATCACCGGAACTATCACTGTCTTCCTTCTTCTTCTTCGATTTCGAGACTGACGGAGCCGGAGCCGGAGCAGGAGGACGAGGATCGAAAACTTGCTGAGGAAGCAAAACCTTATCGACCTGGTAAACAGCGAGCTGTCCATCGCTGTAGACGTTACCGGAGACGGTGGTGTTGGTTACACCGGTCGTGATATTTACGGTATTGCCACTGGTGGTAACGTTGAGAGGGAAATGTCCATCGGCGGAGTCACCGGCCTGAGTCCGGAGCGGGTTACTTATTGTTTGGAAGTTTGAGGAAGAGACGTAACTTGGTATGACATGAAACTGAATTAGTTCTACTTGTTGCTCGTCGGTTAAGGAATTTAGGGTTCCTGCTTTGAGACCGGAGAACGAGGAATCACTCGGTGCGAAGATAGTGATTCCATTGTCGGAGTTGTTTAGTTGGCCGTAGAGTTGGTTAGCAACCCCGGTGGATTTGAGGAGTCGGATGAAGACGGTGAATTGACCAGCTTTCTCTAGGATTTTGGTGACGTTTGTGGGTCCTGGTGGTGCCGGAGCGACGGCTGGAGAGGGCTGAGATAGGGTTCCGGGAGTGGTGGTGAGTAGGAGGAGGACGGTGAAGAGGAGGTTGATGAGAGAATGTTCCATGGCTTTGTTTTCAAGAATGTTGATATTTTGTTTGTGTGAGATATGGAGTTTATATGAAGAATAAGGGGTTATATTGAAATGGGGGTATTGATTGGTTAAGAGGTCAACATTTTTACAACTAAGTTGATTGTCAATAACCAATGATGATTTTTTTTTTGTTTGTGAAATTTCCATGACATCTTATCACATGAATTGCTTTACCTCCAGGCAAAATTATTGGATATATATAGCCTTTTTGCCGCTGTGTATAGTTGTATTTTTGTTTATTGTAATGGTTTTAGATTTAGCAGTTATAGCTGTAAAAAAAAAACAGAGTAATTAATCAGGTTCTAATTATTGATAACATTTGAACAAATAGAGCTAATAATTAAAGTGTATAAAATATTATCAGTAGTTGGTATGACTGTGATAATGTATATTACACACTGTGTGTTTCTGTGTGTGTGCAAAAACTAAAAAGAAAATCATTACTTTGTTTGTAATTATCAAATCCTGTGTCTGGAACGGTGGGAGGAATAATGGAGAATGTGGTGTATGATAATGGAAGGAGCAACTTGCAACTTTGCTTGAAAATTAAGGAAAAGCAAAACAAAAAATTGATTTGTGGTGGGCTCTCTTTAATTTTTAGCATATTTAACGTAAGTGAACTTCTAATTTTTGACTAAAATATGTAACGTAATTTTAAGAGTTCACAGAGGATTACTTACCCAAAAAAAAAAGACACAGGATTTAACTTTAATTAATTCATATCAAAATGAAAAAAAAAGAATTATATCAAAATAAAAATAAAACTATAACGGATTAAATATTGTTTCCAAGACATTTTAACGCCCAAATCAGTAAATTGATCGAATATAATTAGATTTGTCTGCATGTGAAATACTACATAGGAATTGATCGAAAGATTCCCATTAAAGGAAACAGTTTCTCAAGCCGTGAATAACTTTCATTTACATTTTGTTTTTCAAAAAAAAAAAAACTTTCATTTGCCTTTTTAGTGAGACAGTTTTCATTTACTTTTGCCATTTCTCTAAGGAAACAGAGAGATTGTGTTCCACCTTTTCGAATTCCACTTTCCACACTATACATGTCAGCATATCATTGTAATTTTCAAATATTTATAAAAATTGTAATTTGAATTGAACAAATTATAAATATTTTATGACATAATTATAAAAAAAAATCATTTTTAAATCTTAATGAACATAAGTTTGTAATTGACAAACTACTTGAGGGGAGGGAGATTTGTGAAGGTGGGTGTGAATTGGGTTTGTAAGTGTAAGTGGGGTATTAAGAAAACAACATTATCATCCTACTATGATGTTTATGCTTTTATCAGATTTGATTTTGATTGACATCCTCAAATCTGGTTACTATAGCTCATTTCTGGTTCCCGCACTCGACTCCGAAATACTCTTTTATCACATGGCTCGTCACAAAAAACAGAATAGCCACAGGAGACAAGTTACTACAATGGAATAGACAAGCTAACTCGAGCTGCATTTTCTGCCAACATCCTATGGAAACAAGGGATCATTTGTTCTTCATATGCCCTTATTCCCATAGTGTTTGGCAGGAACTCGTCAAGGGCATTCTCCTTTCCCAGTTCACGGCAAACTGGAGGGATATTCTTAAGCTGACCACCGACAACAATCTTGGCAAGACGAAAACGTTTATTCTGAGGTACATCTTTCAGAACACCATTCACTCTATTTGGAGAGAAAGGAATAGTAGACGACACGGCGAAAAACCGGCTCCAAGCGAGAAGCTAACAAGAATGATAGATAAGAACATGAGAAACCGTTTCAGCACAATTAGGAGTGGAGGAGATTTGAAGTATGCGGAAGGCATTGAAGAGTGGTTTGCTTCAAGGCAAAATTGAGAATGACTACTTGTTCTTGGTTTTGATTTTTTTTAAAAACAGTATGCATTAAGGTGTAAACATGTTTATTTTTTTCTTGAATATAATTTAACATTAAATTCAAAAAAAAAAAAAAAAAAATGATGGCTCATTGGATTACTAATTAGAGATATGAAAAAAATAGATAGACCTCACAACCACTTTCATGTCATCATTTCCATTCGATCTTAGAAGAGTATTTACGTGTTTCTGGTCCAAAACCAATACAATTTTGTGTAGAGGTTAATTTTCCAGATTATTTTTTTTCTAATTACATTTTTTCTAAACCGGAGACACCAAGAAGAAAGTGTAAACACCAATTAATCACTAATCAGCCATTTTCTCCCTTCCCCTAAAAATCAGCCGTATCATATGCTCATTCCATTTGCATTCCCTCCAAAAAGAAAAAAACTTCATTGCTCTTGTTTATATTTCACTCTCAACAAAACCAAAAACCGCAATGTATTCTTGAATAAATCTCATCTGATAACCAAAAAAGCCCGATTTTCCGAGATGAATACTCTAGAAGAAGTAGGTGAATTCACTCAAATCTTCGACGCTTTGATGAGTCTAATGAGGAAATTTTTATTCAGAGTTCTATGCGTGGGTCCAATCCCTACTAACATTTCATTCATCATGGATGGAAACCGCAGGTTCGCCAAGAAACACAATCTTAAAGGCCTAGACGCAGGACATAGAGCCGGTTTCATATCCGTGAAATATATTCTTCAATACTGCAAAGAGATTGGTGTACCGTACGTCACACTCTACGCGTTTGGTATGGATAATTTCAAGAGAGGACCTGAAGAAGTCAAGTGTGTGATGGATCTAATGCTTGAGAAAGTCGAGCTTGCGATCCATCAAGCTGTATCCGGGAATATAAAGGGGGTGAGAATAATCTTTGCCGGTGATTTGAATTCGTTAAACGAGCGTTTTAGAGCTGCGGCGCAGAAACTGATGGAGATAACGGAGGAGAATAGAGATCTGATTGTGGTGGTTTGCGTTGCTTACAGCACAAATCTCGAGATTGTTCACGCTGTTCGAGAATCTTGTGTTAAAAAGTGTAAAAATGGAGATGGTGCTGTAGTTTTGGAGGTGAGTGATGTTGAAGGATGTATGTATACATCGGCTGTGCCAGATCCGGATCTTGTTATCAGAACCGGAGGAGGAGATCGGCTGAGTAACTTCATGACGTGGCAAACTTCGAGGACTCTTCTTCACAGAACGGAGGCTCTTTGGCCGGAGTTAGGACTCTGGCATTTGGTTTGGGCCATTCTGAAATTCCAAAGAATGCAAGATTGCTTGCAGAAGAAGAAAAAGCTCGATTAAAGTTAAACCCTAGAACGAACTTATACCCTTAATTACGTTTGATTTATGTGTTTCTCGCCGACAATAAACTATGAATCGCAACGAAAAAGCACAAGAAAATCATTGTTATTATGTATTGGATCCAAATAACAAACACGAAGGCACAAAAACATCGATAATCGTTGGATTTAACGATGCTAAAACACTACAATTAGAGGCTTAATTTAAACACAATTTGGTAAACAAAAAGCAAACAAATCTTTAAAGATTTAGTACTTGGCCATATAAGAACATAAAGGCAATCTCAGTCACCTGCCAAAATAACTTTTAAAAATTGTTTTTCGAGAGAATCTTCTAAATAAGGTTTCTAGCTAGATTCATCTAGAGGTTTACTTCTGTCTTGTTGAGGAGAACAACTGATTCTTCCATTTGCCAGATTTCTTGGCTGGCTTGGGATTTGAGTCCAAATTTTTTGCAGTGGATTTTCAGCTTGAAGGTGCAGAAAGAGAGTTGATGTTACAGATTTTAGGTTCAAAACAGTTCAAACAGTCTTTCTGCTATCACGTACGGTGAGCATTATCAGAGGCGTTTCAACTGATACCACTCTGAAATTTGTGAGGAAACTCGTGGATTGGAGCTCACAAGACGGTAAAAGCTTGTTAAGCTTAATTTGTTGCAAACACAACCATTTTTGTGTGTCATTGCATTCGAACTTAGAATAGTAGAAGAGTACTCTTTACGTGTTTAATAATCTGGTCCAAAAACCAATACAATTTTGTGCAGAGGTTAATTAAAAAATAAGCCCATAACATATTTCTGTAGTCTTTTTTTTTTTTAATTAAATTTTAAAAGTAATAATTTAAAAGTGGTTATAGATAAATTATTAGATACAGAAGTGTTTTTTAAAAATTTAATATGGTCCTTACTTAAAAAGAAATTACATATTTGATTAAACCAAGAAGAAAGCCATCAATCACTAAATCACCCATTTTCTCCCTCCCCCTAAAAATCAGCCGTATCATATGATCATTCCAGTTGCATTCCCTCTAAAAGAAAAAAACTCCATATTTTTTTGTTTATATTCCATCCACTCTCAACAAAACCAAAAACACCAAAGTTCTTGAATTCTCTCCGATAACCATAATAAAATCCCGGTTTTTCTGATATGAATACCCAAGAAGAAGTAGGCGAATTCACTCAAATCTTCAACGCTTTAATGAGTCTAATGAGGAAATTCATATTCAAAGTTCTATGCGTCGGTCCAATCCCTACTAACATTTCATTCATCATGGATGGAAACCGCAGGTTCGCCAAGAAACGCAATCTTGAAGGCTTAGACGCAGGACACAGAGCCGGTTTCATATCCGTGAAATATATTCTTCAGTACTGCAAAGAGATTGGTGTACCGTACGTCACACTCTACGCGTTTGGTATGGACAATTTCAAGAGAGGACCTGAAGAAGTCAAGTGTGTGATGGATCTAATGCTGGAGAAAGTCGAGCTCACGATTGATCAAGCTGTATCCGGGAATATGAACGGCGTCAGAATTATCTTTGCCGGTGATTTGAATTCGTTAAACGAGCGTTTTAGAGCTGCGACGCAGAAACTGATGAAGCTTACGGAGGAGAATAGAGATCTGATTGTTGTGGTTTGCGTTGCTTACAGCACAAGTGTCGAGATTGTTCACGCTGTTCGCGATTCTTGCGTTAGAAAGTGTAAAAATGGAGATGGTCCTGTAGCTTTGGAGTTGAGTGATGTCGAGGAGTGTATGTATACATCGGTTGTGCCGGTTCCGGATCTTGTGATAAGAACCGGAGGAGGAGATCGGCTGAGTAACTTCATGACGTGGCAAACTTCTAGGTCTCTTCTTCACAGAACGGAGGCTCTTTGGCCGGAGTTAGGGCTCTGGCATTTGGTTTGGGCCATTCTGAAATTCCAGAGAATGCAAGATTGCTTGCAAAAGAAGAAGAAGTTCCACTAAATAGTTTCTAAGTTAAACCCTAGAAAGAAACATGTTAAACCCCAAAATGAACTTTAACCTTATGTTTGATTACATGTTTCTTGTACAACGAACCGAAACTGAGAAAACACAAGAAAATAATCCTTTTTATTATGTATGTGATACAAATAACAAACACAAAGACATAAACCATCGATAATATCTCAAATTAACGATGCTAAAACACTACAATTAGAGGCTCAATTTAAACACACTTTGGTAAACAAAAACAAATAAGTCTTTAAAGATTTTAGTACTTAGCCACTCCAGGACCAGGTTTGCCTTGGAACCTGCAGACATTACAGAGAGGCGAGAACAGAGAAGGAGTTTGGTACTTGTCTTCTCCACCCATCAGAGGCATCGGGACTCCGGTCTTAACCGGACTAACGTATCCAGGCCGATATGTTTTCCCCAAAACGCCCTCGACGAGATCACTCAGGTTAAAGAACTTAAACTGAGTCTCTAGATGAGCAAAAACATCATCTTTAGGAAGCTGATAGTTATGAACTCTATCTTCTTCTCTCCCAATTGGTCTAACCTGAATATCCATTTGAACAATGCCAGATACCGTGACTCTCACGTTATTCCTCTCATCTGTTCTCTCAACAACAACTTCCCTTTCTTCAAGATCAATTCTCCACTCTGCTTCACCTCCGGTAGGAACTTCAACTTCTTCTCCGTTCCATCTCACCACGAGAGAGTCTACAGAATCGTCCCAAGACGAAACCTTCTTGGCTGCGATGACAAGGTTGTGGTTATCGAACATCACTGAGAAGGCTTGAACCCATGTGAAGTCTCTTGTTCTACCAGCAGGTCTTGTACCAATGAAATGTGCATTGATTTGAAGATTCTTGTCAGAGACGATGGCGAAGTTCCCGTCTTTATTTCCGTGGAAGTAGAACATCACTCCATCTCCTCCCACAAATCTTGGGTCGTAACACAAAGATCCATACCCGTTGCAGTTTGCTTTCCTCCCTATTCAAGAACAAAAATTAACCAAGATTAGTAAGTGTGTTAGAAATCTCACGTTGACAAATGTTACAAATTAACTTAATCAAAATATATTAAAAAAAAAAACACATTTTGGAGTTTTTAAAATGTTCCAAAAGGTTGAGATCTAAGACTTACATTTGCAAGTGACTTCACATTTGCTGCTACAATCGATGAAACAAGCTTTTTGCTTCTTATTCATCTTCGGTTTCCTCTCGGGGCATTCCTTAGGACAAGTGAGGATCTTCTGGTTACAAGATCCTCTAGCCAAGCATTGAACTCGCTCTTGACCCGAGCCAAGTGAATACAAAACCTTGTAGTTCGTTGAAGCTGCATCATAAGCACCTTTCTTCCCTTTCTCTGTAGCAGAAACCGCGAAAACAGACACAAGCACGATAATAGTCACAAAAACCCGCGACATTTTCTTTTGTGGTTTTGAAAGAAATAGTCTTTTGTTGTATATTTCTGTACGTGGGTATTGATTTGATAGAAGTAGAGGGAGTGTTCTTATAGACCAGAGAGGCTGGAAGTAAGCAGGAGAGACCGGCTTAATTGACGGTCCAGAGTTGATCAAAATCACATGAGGAATCGAAGACCGTGTTAGAAACAGCTTCGACTTTTGTTTATTAAATTCTTTTAGGAGAACCACCACTTGATTTCAAATTCAAGTCCAAGAATTGAGTATTTAACTAAAAATGAAAACTTGCATTTCTTAATAGGGAAAAGTCAGCCTATAGAAAAATAAAGTAAATAGAGATATAAATTATTAACCACGAATCAACTCATCAAATTTCCATTGAAACGACAATTTCTCATATTCACAATGACCAGTCCTAATTATCCACAATTTTTGAGATACTCTTTATACAAGAAAGCCTCTGAAAACTTAAGTCCGCAAGTTCTAATAAGAGCATGTGTAGTGGGAGGTTCTCACAAGTGTTCTCAAGAATATAAAAAATGAAAATAATAAAAAGTAAGAGAGAGACATGAGCATGGGTTCTCATATGAGAACTTTTGAGAACCTCTTGAGAGACTCATGTCACACATGGCAACATGTAATTGGTTTTAAAAAAAAATTATTACTTAAAATTTAATTATACAATTAAACTAATTTATGTATATTATAATAATATATTTTGAGAGACTTTGAGAGAACCTCCCACTGCACATGCTCTAAGAGTATTACAGTTTACGAGGCATTGCAAAAATCTAATTAAATTATCAAAGAGTTATTAAGCTAGGTTAAGTCACTACAAGAAAAAGGGTTTTTGACGTCGGTTTTATTTAAGGTTAGCGTCGGTCATAAACAGACGTAAAAGAATTGGCGTCGGTTATTAAACCGACTTATCATGCGCCGACGCTAAATAATTTTACTTCGGTTTAGAAAGTGACTTAAAAAAACTGACGTTATCTACCGTGTTTTTTGTAGTGAGTCTTTACTTATTATGTTTTCTTATAATGTGTGTCTATATATGGAACGCTGCTTGATCATAAGAAATTAGAGAGAAAATCGGCTAAATGTTAGGGAAGCACACTACGTTTCACGAAACATAATAATTTAACACAAACGAAAATGATTAACCAATCACCATACTTTAAATTACAAAATTTAAAATTTGTTAGACGAGAAAAATAGTTATATATTTTACGTCAAAAACATAACTGTATATCTTAACAATTTTAGCTGGTTGATCTAGGACCTTGCACAAAAAGGTGATCTAGGACATTATATATTAAAAATATAAATATATACCAATGATCAATTTAACTTTTTCACATCATCTCTGCGGCGTCGTGGATTGTGTCGTAGATTAAAGGATGAAAAGATAATGAGAGCCATCGATCACGGATCTACGCACTGTATTTTTAATATTAAAAAAAAAATTAAACTACGAGTGCTTGAACTAACTCTAATCATCATTCGTGGAGTTGACATTTGTATGTTAATTTCATTTAATTAAAAAATTAGAGTAGATTGTAATTGTATTGAAGTCAATAGTCATGTACTCATGTGATGTGTAACATAATTTAAATTCCTTGGATCACATGAACTATGCCTAGAAAGTTGCAAACTTTTATTTTGTGCACTAACTTATTTGATTATTTAAATCTGA